GGACCCCTGCTCTGAGACTCGGGTAAGTGTACAGCCTTGGTCCCCTTGCAGAACGCCCCCCAGGAGCAACTGAAGGTGCCACTCAGGGCCCTGCCATCAGGCCAGCTCGTGAAGCTGGTCTTCCCTACATCCCAGGTACTGGTCACTCAGAGGAAGAGACCTGGATGTAGGGTGGGGCAGAGCCTCAGGCCAGTGCAGGGGAGCGGGGGCGGGGTGACTCCTTCTCTCCCACTTCTCTTGGGCCAAGCCCCCGGGCTGGGCTGTGGGGGTGCATCCCTGTGGAGATGGCTGGGGCATCCCAGGGCTGGAGTTGGGGTGGAGGTGCCAGCCTTTCTGAGTGGTGTGTTGCTGGTTTTCAGGAGCCTCTGATGAGGGTGGAGCTGAGAAAAGAAGACAGGTGAGAGGCTGGGGGAGAGCAGTGGGGGGCGGCGGGGGATGGGGGTGGGAGTGCGTGCAGCTGGGTGGCCTGGAGGACCAGAAGGAAGCGGGTGGCCACAGCAAGGAGCTCCCAGTCCTGGGAAGGGGCTCAGAGCAGAAAGGGTCCTTCCTTAGCCTTGCAGCCTGTGTGTGGCCTCACAGGGTGGGAGAGAGGTGGGGGCTGAGAATAACACGCCTGGTTTGAGGAGCAAGAAGACCGAATTGCCGAGGTGGGTGTTGCACCCTCTTGGGTGGAAGCAACGTGGCTGGGCCTTCGAGAGCTTTGGCTGGCCCCCGGTGTCTGGGAGCATAAGCAGCCCCAACTTAAACACCTTTGCTCCTTCTCAGTGCCCATGCCCCTCCCCAGTGCGGCCGTGGTCCAGACTGGCAGGGGAGGGAGAAGCTGAGACTCAGGGTGGATCCACCAGGCGGCAGCCGGTCAGGGCTGCCTTTGGCCACAGGGACACGCTCATCCGCTGGCTGGCCTTGCCACCGTCCCGGGTGTGTCGATGTGGCTCTGGGCCTACCATCTCCCCCTCACTCGCCAAGCTTCAGCACGCAGGCTCGAGGGAGAGAAGAGATGGACGTGGGATCTCGCAGGGAGGTGGGCCCAGTGTCCTCTTCTCTGACCAGGCTGAGCACTGCCTCACTGTCCATCCATCCCCTCACCCCACCCCCAGACCAGGGGAGCTGGCCGTGCGCCTGGGCTTCGAGCTGTGTGCCCAGGAGCAGGCCTTCCTGAGCAGGAGGAAGCAGGTGGTGGCCAAGGCCCTGCAGCAGGCCCTGCAGCTGGAGGGAGACCTACAGGAGGACGAGGTCTGTCGGGCTAGGGGGGAGTGTGGGGGTCTCAGGCTGAGGGCTGAACTGAGTGGGCCTCCACGCTTCCATTGCCCGACCAGGGCTGGTTGTAAGGCGGATTTGTGCCTGCCCCTCGTCTGCCCATCTGCCCACCTTGTACTTCCTGGAGCTCCCTTGATGTTATCTTGGGCCTGATACAGTCCAGCAGTGTCAGAGCCACGGGCCCCACCAGGGGTAGCTACCCTTCTCTGGGCGTTGGCCCTTGGCCTGGAGCTGCTTTTAAGACTGGGCCTCTCGGACAGCTCGGTGGATATCTGGCCAGGGCTGTCTGCTGGCTGGGCTGGCTCCTAAGGAAATGAGCTCCTTGCAAAGGGAGAGGGACGGCTGATTTAGGGGTTTTGAGGTGACCCTGCGTCTTTTAATAAGTGATCACCACACTCCCCGGGCTGGGGATGGGGAGATAAGGCCTCTGGCCTGTACTTCCTGGAGTTTTCAAAACCCGAAAGGACCCACCCTACTGAAGGAGGTTATCCTGACCTGACTCTCCTCAACTGATCTGACTCAGACCGCATCCACGTGACCCCACCAGACCCTGACCTACGCTAACTTGGTGGTGGGGTGGGGGGCACGGGACTGAGTGGCCACTTGACTTGTTGTGTTCTCCTCCTGTGGCTTTTAATGCCCGGCGTACTCTGACCTCTCCTCCACCAACTGGAAGTCCCCACGAGGCCTCCCTTGAGCCCAGCTGTGCTCTGCTCTTCCAGGTCCCAGTGGTGGCAATCATGGCTACCGGTGGAGGGGTCCGGGCAATGACCTCCCTGTATGGGCAGCTGGCCGGCCTCAGGGAGCTGGGCCTCTTGGACTGCATCTCCTACATCACGGGGGCTTCGGGCTCCACTTGGTGAGCAGGCTGAGTGTGGGAGTCTAGGGGTAAGGTGGGCGGAGGCAGGGGTGCCTGTGGTAAGGCTCCTCCAGTGCCCCCTTGACCTCCCTGACTAGATTGGAAGGTCTGAGAGGAGGCAGGTGGCAGGTGCAATATGCCCAAGGTGACCCATGGGCTCCCGCTGTCTCCACGGAGCTGGAAGTCACTACGGGCTGCTGTCCTGAGAGAGAAGTTCCGAAGGGGTGTGAGGTCTCGGGGGACTCTCAGAGGGACCTATGTGTCCCGACCCCTGGCTTTGCCTAGGACCTTAGCGAACCTCTACAAGGATCCGGAGTGGTCGCAGAAGGACCTGGGGGGGCCCACCGAACTGCTGAAGACGCAGGTGACCAAGAGCAAGCTGGGCGTGTTGGCCCCCAGCCAGCTGCAATGGTACCACCAGGAGCTGGAGGAGCGCGCCCGCCTGGGACACCCGGCCTGCTTCACCAACCTCTGGGCCCTCATCAACGAGGCCATGCGACATGACGGGGTACAGAAGGGCGGCCTGTGGGGACTGGCCTGGCCAGGGTGCGGGCCTGGGCCTGGAGGCAGCCCCACTGGGTAGCAGGGTGAGGGGAGATCTCCAGAGACCAGGCAGCAATGGGTTTATATGGAGGTCATCTCCCTGCAGCCTGATGACCACAAGCTCTCGGAGCAGCGAGAGGCCCTGAGGCACGGCCAGAACCCTCTCCCCATCTACTGTGCCCTCAACACCAAGGGGCATGGCCTGTCCACCTTCGAATTTGGAGGTGAGTTGAGGCAGCTGGTCAAGGCCCGGGCTGCCAGGGGTGGGGGAAGGGGTGGTTGGGATGGTGTGAGGGAGGCAGTTTTTCATGCCCACCTCCTTACACTCTGGTCTGGGACCCGAGAGAATCCAGACACCCATGACCCCAGAGTCACTTGGACTGGAGGGGAGTCAAGGGCCTCGAGTTGCCCGCCCTTTGTGGCTGCCCTGCGTGGGTCCAGGTGGCCGGGAGGGTGGTCCCGACAGCGGTCCCTTCCTGCTGCAGAGTGGTGTGAGTTCTCCCCCTACGAGGTCGGCTTCCCCAAGTACGGCGCCTTCGTCCCCTCCGAGCTCTTCGGCTCCGAGTTCTTCATGGGGCGGCTGATGAAGAGGATGCCTGAGTCCCGCATCTGCTTCCTGGAAGGTGAGAGGGTCTTGGAGAGAGAATGGGGGGCGGGGAGGATGTTTCTTGGGAAGCCCCATCACTGAGGCGGGCAGTGGGCAAGGGTCAGGCCGTGACAGGGATGGGGGCTCTCGTCCCCCTGTGTCTGCGCTCCCAGGTATCTGGACCAACCTATATGCCGCCAGTCTCCAGGACAGCTTATACTGGTCCTCGGAGCCCAGCCAGTTCTGGGACCGCTGGGCTCAGACCCTGACCAGCTTGGGTAGGTGCTCAAGCTCCTGTGTCAGGAGGCAGGGGGCTGGTGCTTGGGGTGAGCATGTGACTCCTAGGCCTCTGTGTGTGTGTGTGTGTGTGTGTGTGTGT